TTTGTTTTACTATTACCTATCTTAAAAGCGGTGAAACATGCAATGTAAGGGACTTTCGTCTTTTATTTATTCCCAGCATTTTGAAGCCTTAAAACTTAACCTTAATAGGGTCTTGCAAACGTCTCGCATTTTGGAGCCAAATTTCCTTTAACAGTATGCTAAAAGCAAAAAATTTCGATGCCCACTCTCAAAAGGAACCGATTGCGATTGAAGGCATGTGTGCTGTGAAGATCGATTGCAATTTTCCCGGATCTCAGTATATAATATTAGCACCCTCCTACCCAAGCGAGAGAGTTTTGTGAGGGCAAAAACGAGCGTGGAAGTGCGCCTTCTTAACTTACAGCAAGCAAACGTGATTTGAAACAAAATTTAAAACTAAAGAAATTAATTCAAGCTCTACTCTTCCAACAGAATAGCATTAGTTGTTTTCATTTTCATCGTTTGCTACGCTTTTTAAGCCCAATAGCGATCTTTGTTTTGGAATAATATCTTCATATTGCTTGACACAAAGTCCATACTCCAGTGCCATACAAACAATCTTTATTGTCCTTCTACAAGCCGAAGCCGAAAAGTAATTGAAATAATGAAATTACTTTTGAGCCTTATTTTGCCTTTCAACTTTTTGGAATTAAAAATAATTTGATTACTTTCATTACAATTCGAAGTCAGCTCATAAAAACGCGACACAGAGTAAGTACATTTAACAAACATAGAGTTACGAAAAGAAAAAAAATTGAAGAGAATTTCACTTTGTCCTTTCCTTTGTTTTTTTCTCTTTTTTGAAGGCATAATTGATTTACTATCAAAATAGTTTGTTCGTTTTTTTAAATAGATAGCAAGTTATCGTTAAAGTCATTATTTCCAAGGTAGCGGCAGTTATGGAAATAATTTCGATAGCATTTATGCACAATTCCCAATAGTCGACGACCGTTTGACGGCAGCCCGGTCTTTCCTTATACACCTCCTCCTCGCATTCACCCGCTAAGTAACCACAACAAGTACTCGGAATTTTTTTGGAATTTCTAAGGTAATCTTCATAACTTTTCAAGCCACAGCAAGTAAACTGTATCGATTTGAGGAAAAAAAAATATATGGATGTACGCTCTGCAAGGGACGAGGCAGCAAGGATTATTTATGGATTATTTTCACTTACTAAAAATTGATAACCATCCATAGGGTATTTAAAATCGTCTGTGTTCTTCGTCCAAGCAATGTTAAGAACATGTTCGATATCTTCACCAGACCAGCATAATAAATAACAAAATAAGGCCGCTTGTATAATAATCGTTAATATCAATAATGTTCCATACTTGAGGGAAGATGTAAAAAGAAAAAAAGACATTTTTTGAAATAAATACAACAACTAAACCAAAAACGGAAAATAATTACACTGATCAGAAAGCATTTGCTCTCGCGTAGCGCACCAATGCATCCAACCAATGGAAAAATTGTTGTTATAATGCCCACCGCTATGACGACACTTGGTAACTCAAATTGCAAAATGTGTAACTTGATGACATATTCCGGAATAAGATTCATTTTATTTAAAAGCTCGCATCCAACAGCGAATAAACTGATGCCGCATATCTTACGCAAAAACAAAAGAAGAAAAAGAAAAGATAACAGCGATAGTGATTTCAATGGTGCTCTCAGCATCATCACAAAATTTCCCTTCAAAATGAAATGGGTGTCAATTTATCATTGTATGTATGTAGACTCGGTCAAAGAATGAAAGTACAGCGCGGTCTTCTATCGCACAACTGAAATGATGAGAGTCTTTTTTAATTCAATGCTATTAGTGGGAAAACGTAAAGGGAGAGTTTTTGATTATTTTTTGTCTATGCCCAGGCACTCGGGGGATGTCCTCTGCATGTGGGGGCGCGGTGATGATCAGAAAGGGCTATGCGAATGTTATCGGCCAGAAAACAAAGCATGATTTCCCTTGCACCGAATGTCGATTTTAAATGTCGACAAAAATATGGTCAGCGACTTAAGAAGAAGCAAAAAATAATATACCCCGACAGATATCCGCACTAGTTACATCGGCATTATTCGGGGGCAACTACCAGATGAAAGCTTGCAAGTCTTGCCCAAGATTCGCACAAGAAGAATGTGCGTAGCGAAAAGTTCACGGATTCATGATTGACAAAAGTAAAGAAAGCGTTCAGTAAGTGTGCGGTGAACAGACCCATGCCTAAGCTATGTGCAAGTATTCGCTAACAGAGATTAAAGAGTTGTTCGTTCTCAAAGTCCCACAATCTTTCAGAAAGGGGCTACTAGGTCTTTTCAGCCTTCCCATCTGTTTGTTTTAGTTTTGCAGATGTAGAGCACCCTATGACACTTTGAACTTGGGTCTGGCCGCCTCGGGAACAATTTACATGTAATTCCCTTTTTCGCCATAAACATCAACTTATTTTCAAGTGGCTGATCATCATAGAATTAATTCGAAGAACGTAGGGATAAACAGACAAATAAAGAGATAACTATATCGATTTTTGTTTTCTTCTCACGAAGTATATAGTCAGCATATTAAATCCGCAACACGTTTTCTTTTGGGCGATGTCTACGGCATTTGAGCTTTTCATTGAAAGCAATGTTAGTCATTTCTTTCAACCAAGGGTCTAGACGACAGCTATAACTCTTTATCGATGTTCGATGCTCTAATCTAGACTCTAGTATTATTGACTATATTGATTACCCGTGTTAAAGGTAAATTGGAGATGCTTGTAATTGGCCTAATCAGCCTTTTGACTGCCGGAGTAGAGAACACCTGTAGCGCTGCGAACTGCGGCAAAGCATGGACAAGGTCTTTGTGATCATCAGGCCTACAGAGATATTCAAAAATTCGACAAATTCGTAATCACTGGAAGATGCTTAGGTCTTACTAACATCATTGTATGCTACAGTTCCTTTGGCCATCAAAGAGTAGAGATAACGGATGAGAAAACACTTTTAACATTTGACGGGCGTTACTGAGTGAAGACATTCGCATAAATTCCATTGATCCTCAGAGAGACGAACACTCGTACATACTTAGTATATGCTCGCTGAGATGCCGACATTGCCGTCAATGGACGTTTCGAATAGCGAACTGAGAGACACTTGTGAGCATTTAGCATAAATTTAGCTCTTTTCTATATACTTTCGTCCCTTACGCATATTTAGCGCAAATTCAAAGTTGGTAGTTACTTTCATGGATAGTAAAAAATCGCAACATTCGCACGGCGAAGATCGTTGCACTTGCGCACTTGCTGTGAGCCCACCCATCTGTAATCTATAAGTAAACACTAACAAGTGGTCATGTACAAGAAGAATGAGAACTAAAAACACTAAGAAAAGAGCTTACCATAGTTAAGACGTTTAGTACGTAGAAAGAGTACTTCATGAAAGAGTAAAAAGTCATCCTCTAATTCTCTCTTTCTCTCTTTAGTCGGAGTAATGAAATCACTTGTAATTTTGAAGAAAATCAATAAATTTTTTGTTTATAAGACTTTAGAATTTTTAATTTTTTTTTTTATTTTTTTATATATATATATTATTTATACTAATTTAGTACCTTAAGCAACGGTTGCTTCATTAAAGGTTTGTACTAAAAGTCACATGCACGATAAACTTTGGTTCCATGTTTTGGTATTTTTTTCGACATTTTCAAACTGATACTTATTAGGTAGGCATACATGACATCGGAATTTTTGTAGAGAACATGAACACATACACGTTTATTATATGAAAATCATAAAAAATATTTTATTCAAAGTATTTTCCATTGCTAGCTACAGATTTTTTTCCCATCAGTTTGATAGTTTAAGGCAAACTAGTGGTCGGATCACGTTCGGGGATTTACGTGAGAAGAGAGGCGCTGCTCAAGAACTGCTTTTTGGGTCGACAAGAACGGTAATAGTAAGTGGCCTGAGCAATTAGATAAGAGGTTGTCATGTAAAAAAATGCGTTTGTGTTGCCTTTTTTTAATGTTTCGCACATGTTTTGGACAGGGAACAGTCCCAAATTGTTTAAATCTGCTGCTGTTGTTACGAGCACAGCTAACAACAGACCACACTCTTCTTCTCCCAAGAAGTACGGAAGCCACTCAGTATTGCAGTCGATGTGGTTAGTTCGGGCAAAGAACAAGAATGCTGTTCGCGAATGCTCCTTATTTGGCACAAACTCTGACATTCTCATTTTTCGAAAAACATTTTTCAGCTGCGACATGTGCTGGTATTACGACTCCCTATGGTTACTTGTTGTTCTAGCTATAAATGCTGCTATGCTCTCTATGCAGCAATGGCGTTAAGACTACGTGCAAATTCCGGTTTCATGTTTACGTACCTGGTAGTTAGATTTCCCTTAAAAAAGGAAAAAAATTTAATTTTTTCTTGTGTCGTATTCGGAATAAGCGCTTAGATTAATGAAACGAGGAAAGTCGTGACATTAAGTAATTCATCTTTTTACCTTTCTACGAAGGTTGTCTAAGTGGTTAAAGATGTGTTCGCCGCTTTAAGCTCTGCCTTAAAAAATTTTCAAACATTTTTTTTCCAAGTCTTTTTACTCACGATTTTTAGATGATTGCAAGGAATATCGTTTTGCTTTTGCAATGTATATTGTTAAACAAGGGGGTGTGTCTTTTCCTCCTCTTCTTCTTCTGCGTGTCAGCAAATCAACATCAGACGAGTTGCTGAGCTAAGCGAGAAGTTTTTTGCTTCAGTCATAATAAAGTTGGCGGTAGGTCGATTGGGGATATATAAAGCCTTCTTATGTAACCGTAAGTTGAAATAAACAATTTTAGTGTACTTTTAGGCAAACGAAGCTCATTCTCGCACTAAAATCCCAAATGGTCCTTATTAGATATCTTGATTGTCACATCTTGTCGAATGTGGTAACCTTAAAGATTGGGCATCGCTGATTTAAATGCCCAGACTATGCAAGAAAGCAAATGGTTCTCTATTTCCACTTAATGATTACAACCAGTGTAGTAAGTTAAAGTGTTAACAAAAAGTATTTATTTCTTCTTATAAGAGATGGGTTTTTCTTTCGTTTTCTTTTGTCTTTAAATATAATTTACGTTACATGTATACGTGCACGTATACACACTTAAATTTATGCATATATAACTGTTTGTACCTTTTATTACAATTACATTTTTTTAGGTACTGCGTATTGTGTGTGCTATATTGGGACACTTTATACAATATATATATATATATAGATATATATATATAAGATTATTCATTATTCTCTGCATATTAATCTATTGTTCGATATCAATTCATTTAAATTATTTTCATAGAATTATGTACAGATTAACAAGAGATTCGAAGCAGAAATAAGTAAAGTTTCCCGGTGTTTAATAAGCGGAACGACGTTTATAATTTCGCACATTATTAGCCAAACAGCAGGCAAATATAAACCCGGCAAACTATTGAAAAAGATAAGAAAAAAGATTTTGTTGTTTATTCTCTTAACACTTGAGCAAAACCCCTAAGCATGAAAAAACATACCTCGATGCCTGCAATAACTAGGCCAGCGTACTTGATTATGTCGGCATTTTTATCCCAAAAATCAACAAAAGCTTGCTTGCAACCTTTCTTAAAGACCGTCTCGTAGCGGCAATTTTGAGCATCTTTGCAACAAGATGGTGGAAAATATCCTTGATACCGATAGTCCTCAAAACTGGACTTGCCGCAGCATTCCATCTGAATGAGCCAGAAAAGGAGATCATAAAATCCTAAAAACTGAGCTCTGATATGTAATTAATTTAAACGCGCTTACACTTATTTGTATGGCATCCATGTAGTCACCTTTACGGGTACGATTCAGCCATGCCTTCTCCACCACATCACCCATGATTATCAGATATTTATCCTTATTCAACCACATGTATGTCACCAGAACCAATTGACCGATCATTAACACGAACAATAGAACAGAATACTGGAAGAAATAAAAGATTTCGCGTTTCTTTCCATTTTACACTTGGGAAAATTGTAAATCCTACCGTCATAGACATGCAGTAACTTTCACGTATGGCTCCGCAACAACCAAACCAAGATATCAATAATATTACGACGCCCAAAACGATCAAAGTGATGGGTACTTGTTGTGTCTTCAAAGCCTCGGCAAAATCTTCAACTGTATGAATGTTGGTGAAGAGCAAGGCTCCGAACACTATCAACAATATGCCGCATATCTATAAAAATATATAAATAAAACATTCAGGTAAAAAATTACCACAAGAAGCAAAAAATCATCCATTACAGTAAGCCTGGCATTAAAATAGTTTGCCGCATGAAAAACTGAGCTAAGAGCGCTGTAGCGAGAAACCCTCGCTACTTCGTTTCATTTGTTTGGAAAAAATATATGTTACGACCTTGGAGGGCAGCACGAAGTGTTTCATTTCCTTAAGGTTCAGTATCACGTTGTCCTCCCTTAAAATTTAATTAAGGTGTTAAACAAGTAAAAACACTGAAGCAATATACAATGACTTCTCAAAATGAAGCGTCACATGAAAAGCGTTTGGAAAACTGGTCCGATACGAATGACTTTTAACAGCGTTTGCCCTTGGTGTAGTGCTCCAAATTTCATCAAAACATCCCAAAGGTTGAACAAAAGAAAATCGGACGGACAAGCTTAGATCGGTTCAGAAAATGAATCTAAATCGATCTATATAATAAAAGGCGAGTCCATCTCAAGTCTTTCTAGGTGTTGCAAGTGGCGTTGGGTATAACAAGTAAAAAAATTATATGTACATATGACCGTTTTCTAAAGAAAATTAAAAAAAAAAAAAAATTTTTGATACTTCATAATATAGGATGGGCATGGCTAATATCTTCCATTTTTGCGGAGGTAATATATCTCCTATCTATAGAATATACGTACGGAGTTTTTTATCGGTGTATCTATTATAGATTTTCGCAAGTTTTTCGATCAAGAGCAGACGGACGGACATACATGCCTAGATTAATGTTGCAAATCAATGTAATACACAAATACATACATACAACCCATCAGTGAACGCAAACTTCCTCTTGGATGTTGCAAATATATATAATATATATGTATATGACACATCAGTAAATAAATTCATAGCATCAAATATAAATATTGTCACTATTGATAAATTTATATGAGAGACAATTTAGTGCAGTTATCTTTAGGAAGGCGAACTATCTATCACACAACGAACCGATGATAAACAATAAGATAACTAAATAAAGTGAACGATAAAGATGAAAAAGATAATAAAGTCAATGAATGCAATAAATAAAGTTTATTAAAACTGCATCGAGGGCACACGTGCAGAACTGTTCCATATCGAAACATACATATCTATGAGTAAGCAAATAGGTACCGGTTTTTATATTTCATTTTTATATATTTTGTATTTGTAGGCTCGAATCGAATCGCACGCTCACCACTCACTTAAGAATAAGAAATGTCTCTCATTATGATAATTGTATAAGCGTATATATACATATATATAGATATGTATATATGTGGACCAAACTGCTAGGTTCTCTAATTTGTACGATCAAAGAGAAGGAATAACAATAGAATTTGCATTCGTCACTTTCGCTGGAGAAACAGAGATAGAGAAAGAGAAAGAGCGAGACAGAGTGGAAAAGGAAACACAATCAATCCATTTGCATCGTGCATTATGCAAAGTATTTTCTTATACGATTTTTAATTGTTAATTAAGCAATGCAATGGAAGCTGCATGTTCCAATACAAGTGCAACGTGCATGATGCGCGACACAAAGGCATTCATCATTCGTTTTCTGAAATTCTAGTCCTCTATGCCAGTCTTTGCTAACCATAACCATAAGTAAATGTGCCGGGAGATAACAACCGCGAATGAAATTTCTTGGAAATGTCTGGATAACTCACTCAATAACTAACCAAGTAGTTCTACCTTTAAAAAAGAGAAAACCCGATAGTCGTAGATGCTAGTACTCATGCAGTTTTTTTTTGGTCCTGAAATTTATTTCTTTGGCCTAAATGATTTGTAAGAACAATAAACTAATCGTACCGATCTAAGGTGCAATGATGAGCGGATTTAAATCGGTCTACAATCTTACACCGATCGGAACACTTATTATAAATTTATTACAAGCGCCAGGGCAAAATTAACACACTCTCATCACTCAACCAATAATCGATAAAAAACCTTAAGATCATAAAGTTCAACGCTCGATACAAAATTTTAAAATGAGAATTAAAAAAAGTATAGAAAAAAAATTAATTATTTGTTTCCAAATTAAGGAAACGGCCGTGAACCGAATTGAATTTTAATTGACTTGAAAATGAAAAACAACATCTTAAGAATACATTTTTTCCTTTCATCCAAAATTTTCAGAAGATAAGCGAACTTTCAAAACGTATTTAATGTCACGGCTATAAAAATAGTTTGTAAATGCGTAGGCATCGAAATTTACATTTCGATCGTAAACGCACACACGCATCCGTAAAAAATTGCTAGGGAAGTTGAGGATGCTATGAAAAGTTTAATAAATAAATTGCGAATTGAAAAATATTGTGACGTCTTCCTTTTGTGTGCTGCATTCATCTGCGGATAAGGGTGATACCCTCAGCAATGGGGTGAACTAAGCTAAGCTACATGGCATCGATCGTCGCAACGAAAAACTGCATGTGTGGTACTGAGCATAAAAAACGTTAAACTTTTAATATTATAATTTTAACGAAAAACAAAAGTCGGTTTAAAACATGTTAACCTCGAAACATGAATAAATGCATTACATATTTATATGATTTGAATGAATATATTGAGAACCGGTTTTTATCTTACTTTTTTACTCGAAGCTTTAAGTCGCTTTTGTTGTCTTTTGTTTTACATTTATACCCGTTGTATATTAAAATTGGTTATGCCATGTGTATCTGTCATGTCATGTGTACAATAAACACGCGCGCCCAAATGCATATATAACGTTAGAAACAATGGCACAATGTACAAATGCGCAAACACAACACGCACACATAAAGTATACCTGTACATGCACACATGCAAGCACATACAGGGACACATACGGACGTATGGATATGTATATATACATATGTATATAGCCATGCGATCTGTAGCTAGAAATCATCCAAAGATACTACTTCGCCATCCATGACGGCTAGATACTAAAAGTATCCCCAATGCACACATTAGTCCGACCACTCTCGCGGTACCTGGTTATAGTTAGTGCGCCCCATGTGGTGGAAATTTAGGTGAAAACAGTACTGATTTCCAATTCATTTTCTCTACACCTGCTGTCTGTCTAAGCGCCTTAATTCCGCGCCTTGTGCACATTGTTCACAAAGATATTCGCTGTGCCCCATATTTCGGGGTTTTCGGCTTTTCGTGCTATGTACTGTCTGAATGAGGCTACAGCTAGGACGACCGCGCGCAACAAATCTTGGGCAGTTGAACCTTGCATGCTCCAAATTTTCTTCCGCATCTGCACAGGTCGGACATACTGGGGAACTCTCACGTCCGAATCTGTGTAGATAACTTCGGAAACAGCCATGGCCAGTTAGAAAATGTTTGAGGTATATATATATATATATACGATAAATATGTGTGTATTTGTTTGTATATATATATATATATATATATATATATGATGTAGATGTACAGATATAGGCATATATAGATGTATGTATATATATATATGAGTATAGCTTCTTTTTGTTTATTCGCTTAATTCAAAATTCAATGAAAGCTTACAACAAATGTACACTTACAACTGTACTCGGATAAATTTGATCTTTAATTGCAATTCTCAAAGTGTGCTTTGTTTGCTATTATCACACGCTAATGACTAATTATTTTCTATTATTTGTGAATAGAACAAAGCATTTAACTCTGAAGATTTATTATAAGGCAGAGGGAAAGCGACGTTCTCCTCTAAGATCACGAATCAAGCTTATATCTACTTGCTAAGATTTCCAAAAACTATCCTTATTGTTCTATAGAGAGTTCAATTTTTGATAGAAGATGATGGACCAACATTTTCTACCATTACAACAATGCAAATTGCATAATTCGTCGGGATGGGTACTCGGTAAAAAAGGAACACATACAAAACAAGTCGTAAAATTTTATTTGTCTACTCTTCGATAGGCCCCACGTCTGGATTTGCAAAATAATTCGTTAAATCATGGGCATATTTATGTGGGAGATATTTTTACACTGCTTAAGTCTTCCAAGTTTGAAAAATACTTGTACCAAATTTCATTCAAGTACATTTTAATAGATCAGTACACATACAGTTTTGCTATTATGAATAGGTAAGATTTTAAGTGGATAGCACCCAGAAGTTTCACAAAAATATATACAAATTTCTTATCAATTATGATTGTATCACACCCACTTTTTGAAGTCGACTTACGGTCATCAACTAAGTCCGTACATATTATATTTCAACTGTCTGATACATTCCACAGGCAAGCGCCAATTACATAAGTGAAGTGTTGGACGTACGGACATGCGTTATCAGAATTTTTAGATTGATTAACGATTATGAGACTCCTAGAATGCGGAACGTATGAACTTAAATTCAAATGAAATTAGCAAACCCACAGTCGAAACAAAAAATGTAACGTAGCTCTGTTGAGGCAGCAAAGATTCTGTTGAGGTGGTCTCAAAAAATTTAAAACAAAATGAATACACAAACACATTGAAAGAATATATTTAACAAAATACCACTTTACATTAATCGCTTCATATTAACTATGAAAAATTATTTCTAGCGTAGCATGGCTGAAGGCGACATAGGAAACTGAGTCCGTGATCAATAAAGTTTTCAACGATGCATAGGGTACAGTCAATTATGCTTAGAGCAATTGTCTACAGAAATTTAAAGATATCGATCAAGGATTCGTATAAAAGTTAGTTTCTTTTTTTTCGCTACGTTTAACCGGTCCGAGAATCTTTGATTTGCATAACGCTACTATGGCAGTCATTTTTTTATTCTCATAAATAAGTTCACGGGCATTTAATGCAGGATAACTTGCCATACATGTTAGATTCATTATGCAAAGAACATATTTACAAACGAATGCAATGACATCAGCCAATCACGCGCATTAGGTTTATGTGAAGCGCAAAGTGCTGCTAACTAATAAAGGAATTGCAAAATAGTTTTTCATTTATTTTTACTTACTCTCTTCCTATTTGATTTTTTTTGAAAGTCTAACGAGTATTAGTTGTTTACATTTATAAAAGATTAAAGTTTTGTAGCCTACAATTCACAGGGTATACCATGAAACACATAAGTAGATATGCAGAAAAAAGAGTTTTGATTTTTGATCATACGCAACTTGTAGCATAATGACAAATTAAACTTGTGCGGACATGTGCAATACCTAGATCCATTCTGTATCATATCGATTCAGAGATTTTGATGTGTGTGTCGAACTGTAATGGAAGTGAGAAATAATTTCAGATAGTGTAGAAAATAATTCCACATAGTTTGTTAAAATATGTTGTTCTGTGATTCTGTTGCAAGCAGTCCACTGTAAAAATATTTGTACAACTGTAAGATTAACATAACTATGGCTAGTGCGCTTTTCTGTGATTCTCGTTATTATTACTTTTATTATTATTATTTTTTTCAGGATGTGATTCTGAATTGATGTATGCGTGTCTGTCCCTCTGGCTGTCTGCTTTGTTTTCATCTATTTTAATCTATCTGTCCGTGGTCTGACCGTGTCTATGCATCTGTCTGTCTTGTTTGTTCTGTTCTAATCTAGCTATTTAAGCATGTCTGTCCGTCTGACTTGCCTTTTCTTCTATTTTAATCTATCAATTTAAACTTGTCCGTCCGTCTGTCTGTCTTGTTTTTTGCATTCTAATCTAGCGATCTTAGCATATCCGTCCATCTTTGCGTTTTGTGTCTTTTTGCTCAATCTACCTTTATCAACAAACCATACTTCAACACAAATAAAATATATTTATTTCAGTTCAGATTTTAAACCACTTTATATTGCTTTAGGTCCACGCGTAGGCAACATTGTTAATAAGAAAAACGAAAGGAAAAAGCTTTTGTGATCTAGCCAAAAATATCTAGCTTTCTTACTGTTGGACTTTAGACTTTGCAAGTAATTTAGGTGATGAGAGAAACTCAACTGTATTAGCCACCATTGTGATCATTGAAGAATTGCACGTCAACCAACCAAAATTTTAAGAGTCAACATTCGAACTTGAGATGCAACGGTAAATGAAGTTTAATTGTAAGCGGAACATTGGATTCGAATATAAAACTCGCTCTAACGTACAAATTGTACAAAGATTAAAGTGTAATTTAAGTACTCACCGAACATAGCAGATTGAATAAGAATAGAATATATTTGACCATGGACATTCCACAACTCATCTTGAAGGGAATTTTATAAGTTGAACAAAGCTGCAAAAATCTTAAAACAAAACACGATTTTTTTTTTTTTTTTTCATAAAAATGTCATGATTTATTATAAATGGTAAAGTTAGTTAAGAGTAGCATTTTGTGATTGTTGTACAGCAACACGAAAATAAAAATGTAATTTAAAGTTTTTTTCTCTTTTTTTTGTCTACTATATCTAAAGCTAACGTTAAAGGCCGTTTCAAGCATATAGATCAGTCCTAGTCTTTTTCTAACTTTGTTTATTCAACGTACAAGCTCGTGTAAAAGCTCTTTTTTAGGCAACAATGAAGTTTTCAAATTGTAAAAGGTTTTATAAATCCAAGGATAACGAGAAAGACTGGCTAGCCATGACTCAAAAGTTTTTGTGCGGTTTTCAACTTTGGCCAGATGTTTGTAGTATTTAGCATTTTTCTTAACACTTTGCTTCTCATCTGGCTTAAAACGTGCAAAACGTAATTTAAGTAAAGTTTCAGAGATGTCCACCAAACGGCCCTTAGGCGGACGCACTAAATATAGTTGACTAACTACATAATTAGAGTCATGTTTGCTCAACGGTAAAAAAGTGGCTTCACGTCCAATTAAACATTCTTGTATCCAAGAAAATCCATTGCCATTGACTTCAATACCAGCCAACTTTACGGGCAATAAACGATTTTTGCTTGCAAGCAACGATATTAAGGGACGATGGCTCACTAATAATAAAGTATCTTGGCCGCTTTGTTTTACATCCCGCACAAGTCCCTTATGCTTAATACGTGCATCGATTATTTTATCTGGTATATGCGAAGGTTTCTTAAATGGTCGCACCAAATATAACGGCCGGTGTTTTGCGTATGCAAATAAAAGCATTGCCGTTGCGGTGCCGTAAACCAATAACTCGGTACCAACAGTTTGACGATCCATTAAATTGCATAAGTTGTGATATTTGGTAATAAAAAATTTCTTATAATCCTCCATAGTTCCTTTCACCATATGAAGCTATTCGATGCAAACCCCACAAATCCTTTCACTTAAGTTTCGATTCAATCTTTAATTCGACAATTTTTGGTTCCGTTTTTAGTTTGATGACATCATTGTATTATAAATATACTTTTTCACTTTTAGTTAGGAAAGTTACTTTAACGATCTTATGTGAATATGTTCGCATTACATTTATTTGTAAGTACACATTAAATCTGAATGTATTCTTCGCAAAAATTTATTCAAGTCTCAAGCGTAAGAATTGGTTAATATTTATATTTCTAATCATTCACAAAAAATTGCGAATTTTTCTTTTGACATTCTCTCAATTTCTTTTCTTTCTATGATTTGTTTTTTAATCTACTCATTATACGTTGCAACCATGGAAAAATATATTACGATTGTTTGTCTCTTTCGTGATCGTTGCGCTTTTGACAAACGTATAGAGGGAGCTAGTCATACTATTCTCTTTTAATGTACAAAAATCACATAAACACTCTACTCTTAACCCATGCACAAAACTATTGAACTATAAACAGAGAGCGAGAAAGAGAAGAGAAATTAATTTAATATAGAAAGAAAGAATAGCTTTTCTCGTTCTTATAATTAACGGTTTAAGCTTTTTGCTTTTTTCACTGTTACAATTAAAGAAAGCGAAAACGAAACCGAAACTCCTTTAGTCGAGCTTTTTCGTCAATTTTGAATTTTATACCTTAAACTTGTATTTTATTAACAAAAGGCTTTATTTATTGTCTTTTATTGTTGTTTTTTTTTTGTGTGCTTTGTTTTTTTATTTTCTTTAAACTCTGGCTTTATAATTTAAGCGCTTTCGTGTTAAACAGCGTAATATTTATTAGAGACTGTTGAGACTGTTTGTTGGAAATCTCGTTTGTGCTTCGTAAAACCATCAATTACATTAACAACTGGTGGTTTTGCCTGACAATCACCTCTTCACTCTGCACTTTTGTATATCGAACAAGCATCATTCTCTGATCAACAAACCGACAAGTGAGAGATAAAATATTTTCAAAAAATTAATTTGTGTATAGATTGCCTTTTGCATACTCATTTTTAAAATATTTTTTTTTTTTGTCTTATGTCCCCTTTATACTATTAATATATTAAATTAATATCTCTCACTATGATGTTACATTTGTCTCTAATAATATTATTTTATTTGTATTTGAATGTATTACTGTACGCACATGTATACATGAATATACTGTGCGTTAAAAAAACTAGTAGTATTTTTTTAATTAAAAAAAAAAAAGCGATTTTCAAAATATTGCAAAAATATTTGATTTAATTTTATTTTTTAAAAAAATTTGAAAATGTCGAGTAATCAATCGATCAAAGATATATGACAAGTGACTAAATGTGTTCAAGTCCGTTAAAGGCAGCCCAGTATTTAATATTATAACTAATAATAATAAAACTAAAAAATCCAGTAAAGTTCTTTCCATTCGCTTTTTATCGTCCATGATTGAAATTCTTCTAAAAAGTCATTAAAGAAAAATTTTCAATTTCGTTGAGAATGTAAAAAGTTTAGTTTAAAATGAGTAAAAAGAGTGGATAAGGGCCCGCCATTAAATGTCCTCTATACTGTCGACCGTTGTACGTATAATGACTTTACAAAATAAACCATTATATGGAAGTGGTCCAATAACGATCGTCCCTGACCTAAAACTTGTCAGTGTACCAAATTTCTACAATTTGTCTTCGCCCTACAAATTTAGCACAAGAAGGACAGCCGGACAGACATACTTAAATCTGTTAAGAGAGTGATTCCGAATAGACTGGTGTAACACATACAGCGTCTGTCTAAAGTCCTTCTGGGTGTTCCATACATCCATACTGGCTTAATGCACTCCTCTACCACGAGTAGTGTAAGATATAAAAAGACTCTGCTGATCAAAAGCCAACTGAGAAGGTTTTACTCGAATTTCTAGGATTTGTGGGCATAAAACTAAACGAACTGATTTCCATAATGTTTGTACTGGGTATTATATAAGACGTAATTATAACCACAAAGGATGTTGAATATAATCATACTTCAATAAACGGAAAGCGTACAAAGAGATTCCTTAGCAAACGAAAACTTTGTTACGAACTACAGGATAATATTAAGTTAAATAACGAATATATCCGATGGGTAAAAGAAGTTACACTTGACCACACAGAAGCATATGCGGTACATAATAAATAAGAGTTCAATACACAAAATGACAAAGAGTCGAATAAGTTTCTTTCTTAAACTTGAGTTACCAAATTTTGTAAACATGCGTACGCTTGTACACATATGTACATACAGATAAAACTTTTGCTTTTATCAATAGTAGTTAAGAATAAAATGAAATCTTGATATATAAAATTAAATAGAAAATGTTAATATTAAATGTTTTAAACAAATGTGAAATGTGATATTTTTGGGTGTGTGTATCCTCGTTTATATAAAACTATTAAATAATCTATTTTAAATAATTTTCTTTAATTTTTTAAATAGTATGTTGTATTAAAGCGAAATTGTTTATTAAAGTGTTAAAAGCCCTTAAAATATATAGGACGGAAAATAAATTGTTCGAAATCTATATGTAACTCGTAAAAGCATTGTACAGGGCCACAGCCCACTATTAAATTCCCTGCACCAATCCACAATCGTATCATAACACGACTTCTCACAACAAGGTGTAAGACAGCAAAAGGTCGAAAAAGTAGCCCGATTCTAACCATTTTCAATAGGTTTCGCCCTTGGGCCCAAACACGCCGTGCACCAAATTTCGTTAAAATATCTCAAATATCCCGACCTGTGGGTTAAACACAAGAAAACGTTACGGACAGACGCACAGACAAGATATGTCTACCTCAAGTCTTTCTAAGTCTTGCTTAGATCAATGCAAAATTAATATACCTTTATACCACAAGTGAACGGAAAACCTTACAGCAGACGCAGATGAATCGTTGTTCGTAGGATTCCGTTACAAATCCATGACAATTTTGATGAATTATGAAAATATTACTCTTCGCTTGAACATACCACAAGGCATATGCATATGCATTCGTTATTATGGCTGGAAAGTGGTTCGGATCGGACAACCTCCCGCATGAAGTCCTATTTTGAAAAGTATGAATAAAAGTGGAGTGGTGTACATCATTTTAACCCCAATTGTCGAATCTATAATATACATATGTGTTTTAAAAATTTTTCGCTTCTCATCCAAAGAGGTCCAGCTTGTATTCTCACAATCCGTCTGAGTAGGCAACGTATCTGTTATAACAATTCCGATGGGGCCGTGGGTTCCAATCTCAAGTGCAGTAGAGTTTTCAGTGAAGCCGATAATCTTAGATGCTAGTGCATTAGACTTAAATTTTATTTCTTAAAGTATTCTAAAGTAAAAGTAAATTCGCTCAAAATCCACCTATGATATTCTCACAGCTTTATTGGCAACAATCTAAAACGAATCTTTAAGACGACTTATCGGTCGGATCTAAGTTAGCACTAATCCGAAGCGGACTTTGACCAATAAATCTATTATGGGGTACGCCTAACTTTGTGTTTGATCAAAAATTTCTTACTTTTGCATTTTATTTAACGACGGTTAAATTTTCTAAGAACCTCTGTTGTTTCCTTCGTCTTGCTATAAGATCGGCTTTTTAACTTTTTAGATAGATTATAAATTAAATGTGTAATAAAAGAAAAAAAAAAAGATAATAATTTATATAAGATATTTAGACCCAACTCAATAACACAATATAATGCAATAGTACTCTGCTACTATTTTGAACACAACTGTTCTTATGCACATGTGGGTGAATCGATCGAACGGGTGTCACCCGTCTCGCGTACAATGACATCATATAAATATTTTGTTATTCAGAAATGTATTTAACATTTTTTACATGTATTTTTTTCATTTCGTTTTTTCTTCTTCGTGCGAAAAATGTCTAAATATTTTTTCATCAAAAAGAAATGTGCGCAAATGCGTGCGTATTTGATATGACATTGAAATTATTAAGTTTTTTCGAATTTTAATCACAATTTAATTCTTGTTTATTAATAATTTATATTTTATGTATTAAAACCCCTACAGTAAAATCCCTACAGTGGGACATGGCCCAGCACTAAATATCCTGCGTCACTTCTCTCAATGCAGTTATTCTGACCATATAGTGATTTTTGAAAAGAAGTCGTTATATGGGAAGTGATCCGATCCTCACCATTTCCAATAGCTTTCGCCCATGGGCGTTAACATATTTGGTTTATCAAATTTCATCAACACATCTCGCAAAGTGGAGCAAGAAAGCAAGACAGACCGGTAGACAGATTTACTTTGATTCAAAAAAACTGCGTTTATCTCGACTTCTTCTCTGTATTGCATACACCCACATAAACTTAATATATCCTCATACCGCATGGAGGATATTTATGTTAACGTAAAATTTTTTAACATTTTATTAATATAATGTTAAAAAATTCATACGCCATCACTCTCCGCTCTCGGCTTGCATTAGGAAATCAAAAGTGATATATACTCAATCAAATGGGGAAAGAATTATTTCTACGGCATTATATTATTATGATGTGTGAAGAATTTATTCGAAATAAAATAAATGCAAATAAATTTGTAGAAGGACTCAAGGCGCCAGGGCGCCTAAGACGTAAATTAAAAAATATTTTACGGAAACTTTTTCTTGATATTAATTACTTGCCTCTGATTAATTACAATTCACCTTAATTTCTCTCAATCGGTAGCTAGTATTGTTTCATTTTAAATTCCCATTCTCCGCCATACCTAATATGTCTTTCCGGGTTTGATGCATTATAATTACAAAAGATTTCATTAAATGAATAATCGGTCAACTGTGCAATCAAGACAATTTGTCACCTAAATGCTCCTAAAGCATATTAGCAACCGGTTTTAGATAAAGGTTCCACTCCAAGCTGTTACAATCCAAGCATTTGGCTCCCCCTGTTTTATTGCAATATGTAAACAGCACTTCGCAATGGATTGTTAGTGAATAGTTTTTTATTTTTTGTAAACCGATCGGCCCGGTTTTAGCATTCGAGCCTTAAGTATCTTTCATTCGAATAGCAGATAATAATCGGACAGACGGACAGACAATCAGAGAAACGCAAGGGCATACGAACATGATTTAATCAACTCAAAATCTTAATTAATTTTTACTATATTTTACAACAAACGACGACCAACCAGACCAAGCAGACTGGCGGATAGGTGGACATATAAACGTCATTAAGTCTACTCAGGATGTGATGAAGGATATCTGCATATTATATTTCCTAAATTTCAAAGTATACGTTTGTGTAAGCGTTGCAAGAATTGGCGAAAATGAAGCAAGCAAACGGATTTATGGGCTTGACTAAAATAACTTAGAGTCTTAGAGTGTTAGGCTGATGAATGATATACCTAAACATGGATATTTTTCGCTGTTCTTAACCAACAGGCAAATCAAATATGCAATCTTCTTTGGATAGAATGGATATAATAACATTTTCAACTCCATGAATTGTTTCATGTCATAACGGCTCCTAACTTCGGCTATAACTTAAAAGCTCTCTAAACTTACGTAGAGAGTCGAGTTTTTAGTGTACTATTGCAGGATACAAAAGCATAACTTTTGACACTATTTACGCAATTATTCCCCCACCTTGTATTCGCAATATTATCGAATAGGCCAACCTATGCCTAAAATGGCTTTAAATCTAAAGAAAAGTTCGTTCCAATATCTTTAGCGTTGAGCAATTTATTTTATTTCTATAGCATCAAATGCTTAATATTTAATATCGAATACATCAACTAACTGTGTTGAGAAAACA